TACAAATACAAATGACAAATAAAAGTGGTGCATTTTATCGTATGCTAATTTTTATCTTTCAATGAAAAAATTTCAGGGTTTAGTAGGTTTTAACAAAACATTTTATTTTAAATATTTAATCACTACCTGATTGATTTTCAATGTAGCAAATTTAAAGGTAATAAAATATAAATAAAGGGATAATGTATTCGCTGTTAATTAAAATTACACATAAAATTTAAAAGCATAATAAACCACAATAACAAAAATGACTCGGAGGGAAAAACAATAGAATTTTAAAACAAAAGCGTTTTGAGTGACAGCTTATTTATTAAAACCAATGTAAAGCCCCATTTATTTCTAAAACATTACATAGTTAAACAGTGATAGTTTGTTAGTTCATTAAAATTTTATTTAACCGCTTTAATCAATAGATACGTTATAGTTGTCAAATTTAATTAAAATTTAAATTGATTTTAATTATAAAGTGTGTTGAAACTTTTTATTATCAATTTTAAGAAAAAAAAACAGTGTTTATAAAAAGTTTTGCTCACTGAACAAATAATATTGAAATGTTGCTTAAAATTAAAGTTTAAATCAAAAACATGGTATTAAATATTATTATGTATGTATGTAATTTTGTGTAACAAGATTTTTACGATTTTTTAAAAATAATTACCCTACAATACTACATGAACTATACGACAACCCCAATTAAAAAAAAAAACATTTTTTAATAGTAAAAGTTAAAAAAAGTAATTTTAAAAAATTAAGTGCATTTCTCTTTCCATTTCCATTTTCATTTAGGTAAAATAGGTAAAATAAAATCAGGCTAAAATAAAAATATTTTTTTTTAAATAAATTTTATTTCTTTGCACTCAAAGTTATTTCACGTAGAAAAATATGTAATAGCAGTAAAATCCCATCTGTATCACTAATAAATGATTTAGTCATTTGAAAAATACCAAGAATGTTTCAATAGGAGGCAAAGGATTTAAAATTAGATCTAACTTTTAATTTTAAGTTATTTAATTTTTTTTTTTGGTCTAGAATAAAAATTAAGGGTACATCTTTCTTGGGTCAATTATAAATTTTCATTATTTTTTCGAAGATTAAGTGCAAAAAATTTAAAAAAATCTGTTTTGGGATTGTGATTAAACTTCACTTTTAACTAAATAAGAATTAAAAATTAAATTAAATTTACTTGATGATAAAAATCTTTGACGACTGTTTTGAATTCCCGGTATATAGCGAATTACCATTACAACATTGTAACATTTGTTATCATAAAGATAATAAAATTAATTATTTGCAAAAATGGCGAATGCACCGGGATAAATTTTTTAAGTATAATAATTTTTTAAGTTTAGGTAATAAAAAGTCTATAGGTATTACTAAATATAAGTTATTAAAAATTAAAAAAAAGTTTGTCTTATATACACTGGCGAAAGAAATTAACGCATCACGATAAATTTATCATTATTTTGTTGTTAAATATTTTCCAAACCAATCATTCGATTTTGATGTTTTTTTTTTTGGATTGTGTAACGACTCTTAGAAAATCTTATTATGACTTTAGTTCTTTTATAAATCTTTGTTTCTTTTATATACGGGGTGTTATACTGATACTTGATTTTTTTTAAAATTTTCAAACACTCTGTGTATTAAAGTAGCAGTAATAGCAAATCCTAAAAAGGATAAAACTATAGCCTTATCTAGCCCTACCATTCTCTTTTTTGATTCACCTTTTTATCTCTTTGATTAAAGGAGATACACATTTTAATAACACTGCATGTTTTATTTACCTTTTTATACACATTAAAGAAAACAGGCTGTGGCGTCTTGTCAAATTTATGACATTTCAAACGAAATGTCAATATTTTATAATGAATGTCAGGTAGGGCTAGATAAGGCTATAGTTTTATCCTTTTTAGGATTTGCTATTACTGCTACTTTAATACACAGAGTGTTTGAAAATTTAAAAAAAAATCAAGTATCAGTATAACACCCCGTATATAAAAGAAACAAAGATTTATAAAAGAACTAAAGTCATAATAAGATTTTCTAAGAGTCGTTACACAATCCAAAAAAAAAAACATCAAAATCGAATGATTGGTTTGGAAAATATTTAACAACAAAATAATGATAAATTTATCGTGATGCGTTAATTTCTTTCGCCAGTGTATATAGCTTTATTTTATGGTGGATTAGTGGTAACGCTTTTTTGACCTGCGCCCAGTGGCCGATTGCAAAAATTTTGGTCGTTTAACAAAATCCTGGTAAAACAATATTTTTTTTTAATAATTCTAATGTAGATATGGGTGATTCTACAAAAGTTGGACAACTTGATGTCATCAGTCAATAGAGTAGGTATTTTAATATTTTTTGTAAATATTTTAGTATATTACAAAAGATCCAGGTTTTTTTAACTTGTCCACCCAATTTTAATGTATTTTTCAATAGAACGTTTGTGGAAAAACATAATAAATATTCAAAACATCAGTACCTTGGCGTGTCACAACTCCTGAATCAAATATTTGAGTGATTTTATTTTAAAATATTTTCAATTTATCTTAAATTTTTTAATTTTACTACAAACTATAAAAGATTAAATAATGTATTTTTATCATAGATTCGAATAATTGCAATTTTAAAAAATTTGATAATCATTGTACTCACTTTTACCCGTCAGTGCGAAATATTGAAGTTTAAACGTCAAGTCCTAGTTTTAACTTAAGTGTTACCTACAGAGCCCGCCCTTTGCACGACAGTCATCTTGAAAACAATGCAAGCGGCGAAGTTGTGGTGAATTCACGTATAGTTCCAGTCAAAATTTCAGTACTGTGGTAAGTAGTTATTTTCTTACGTATATATATTTCATTGTAATTTATATAAGGCTATATCTGATTTGTTGATAAGTAGCATCCACTAATAAAAAATATCAGTAAAATACTTAAATCCGAATTATAATCTCAAATTTGTATCCCATTCATCAGTACCGTGTCGTCAGTTCCATGTTCGAAGTTTCGGTTATCTTTTTTTCGAAAACTTCAATTTAAATTCTGCTTGCGCAGAACTTGTTTATTTAATGTCATTATAAACTCATATAAATTTGGTGTGGGTCCCATATCTAATAATTGAGATATCGGTATACCCAAAATCCACCAGCCGCCACTGATGTGTGGTATTATTTAATTTTAAGATATTTAATGTATAATATGCTGAAAGTTGCAATAAATCTTATATTTTCTAATAAATTATGTATTTGGTATACTCGTCACTTCCCTTGCATTCAAATTTAGAAAACACAGATATTTTAGAAACTGTTTGAAAAAGTGACTGGCCCGGTCTGGAACAGTATATTTATAATATTATCTATGTTGTCATAACAAAATATAATACTAATATACACGGTGTGCCTGAACGAAGTTTAGGTGACATAAAAATGACGCGAAAAACTGATTGCAGTTTCTTGTTCGGGACCCTTTGATGACTTAAAAATGATATTTACCAAAATCCTAGCTGCTCCTTTTTTCGAAATTTTTTAAAAATTCATGATTTTTTTTTAAATTTTTGTTTATCTTAATGTCTACCTTTGACAGAGTAGGAGATTTGGAGAATACTGTTTATACTGTGCACATCATTTAATATATACAGGGTTAGCCAAAAATCGCTTCTTTTAATAAAGCAAAAGCGTAAATTCATGATTTTGGCATAACACGCAAAAAAGATATATACCCACCCATGTTTTTTTTAGATATTTTTATGTTTATCAGGCTACAAAATGGGATTCTTATCAAGACTTTATAAGAAAAATTGATTTAGAATAAAATTAAATAAAATAATTTTTTTTGGAGATGAATCGGTTGTGTGCATTATGCTTTTTACTATATAAAAACGTGATTTTTGGCTAACCCTGTATAAATCTAATGATGTGCTCAGTATGAAAACAGTATTCTCCAAGTCTTGTTAACAATATACTCCAATATTATAAAAATCGGTGTACAAATGTGTACTCTGTCAAAGGTAAGATAAACAAAAAAATAAAAAAAAAATAAGAATTTTCAAAAAATTTCGAAGAGAGGAGCAGCTAGGATTTTGGTAAATATCATTTTAAAGTTACCAAAGGGTCCCGAACAAGAAACTGCAATCAATAAAAATCGGTGTACAAATGTGTACTCTGGCAAAGGTAGGCTTTGCGATAAACAAATAATTTAAAAAAAATGATTTTTTAACAAATTTAAAGAAAAGCAGTTAGAATTTTGGTAAATATCGTTTTTAAATCTCCAAAGAGTGCCGATCAAAAAACTTTAACCAATTTTTCGTTCAAAATTGAAAACCTCTAAAAATCCTAATTTAAACAACATTTTAAATATTCTCTAAGCGTTATTTTATTTAATTTTATTAAAAATCTATTTTTTTTTATTAAAAGGTTAATAAGAATGCTATTTTGTAACCTAATAAACGTAGAAATATCTAAAAAAAATGGGAATACATCTGTTTTGCGTGTTATGACAAAATCATGAATTTACGCTTTTGCTTTATTAAAAATAAGCGATTTTTGGCTCACCCTGTATATATAAAATTATGTGAACAGTATTAAAAAGTATTCTTTAAGTCTCCTCAATAATATACTCTAATTTTATAAAAATCGGTGTACAAAAGTGTACTCTGTCAAAGGTAGACTTTGAAATAAACAAAAATTTAAAAAAAAATCATAAATTTTCAAAAAATTTCGAAAAGAGGATCAGATAGGATTTTGGTAAATAACATTTTTAATTCACCAAAGGGTCCCGAACAAGAAACTGCAATCAGTTTTTGGCGTCATTTTTATGTGACTTAAACTTCGTTCAGGCACACCGTGTATAATACTATAATATAATATAATACTGTTTAATTTTCTCCGAAAACTATATAAACAAAATAAGGTCAAAAGTTGCCCAACTTTTGTAGAATCACCCATATAAGAAAATATTTTATATGGAAATGTCCAAGTGTGAATAAAAGCTTCATAATTTTACCTTTAATTTGTTCCGCGGGCGTATCGGAGCGAAATAGCGCGGTCTCTTCGCGCTGCCCCACGCTAAAGAAGACTCGAATCGTCGTGGGCTGGTCCATGGGCGGTCGGGGCACCGGCTCATGGTTCACGAGGGCCCCCACATACCGCCGCCGCTGTTGCCGCTGCCACGAGCCGCACACGTCTTCACGCCAATGTTCCGCAAATGCCGCCTCCTCGATGATGACGATTCTACGCATCCAGATGTCCAGCTGGTTATATTAAATGTGGCAACAAAGGATGCTTGGTCTAGTTCTTCGAGGTATGTGGCTAGTTGCTGCAAGGGCAGCATATCCATGGTGGAAAACCTGCTAAAACAAAAATTACCATTTAATTTTTAATTATACTTTTTTATATTGCATAACTTTGCCAATAGACAATTTTAATTAAACATTTTCTACTCCCATACTTTTAATGGACCATCCACGGATTGGAGAATTAAAAACCAATATAGCAGAACTAAAAACCGATGTAGGTACAACAACTTAAATTAAATATAAGCGAAATGAAAGAAAATATAAACAAAAAAGTAAAATGAAATAAGCTACTGGCAACCGAGAAAAGAATAAAATGTTTTACTTTATTAGTTTTGAAGTAATAATTAAACGAAGTGAAGTACCTACCTAAGATTTCCTTAGTTGTTGTTAGTAATTAAAATTAACAGTTGGAAACAGCAATCTCTGTTTTAAGACAAAGGATATTGCTAAATTAAAGCAATAGCTGGAGTGACTATTTACATATTTCATTGAAATTAAGAAAGTTAATTGCTACCCAGTGTTCTCCAGCTCCTGTTTGTACCCAACTTATACTTCTAATTAAATTAAAGTGGAATATTTCATTGAATAATTCACTAAGTGAACTAGGAGGTCTCCAAATATAACCCCATAATAAGATTTGTTAATTAAAGCAACTAATGCAGGAAAATATCTGCACTCAAACTAAAAGCAATATTGGTATTTAATAAACTTAACTTTGCTTATACACGTGAAATTTAATTTTAAAGAAGACATTGAAAATTATAGCGTAAAATTAACATAATTAAATACAAATTTAAAATAAATTCCAACCAAAAGTTTTAACTTTAAATAGTATCAATATTATACAAGGTGTCCCTAAACTTATTGGCATTTAGAAAAAGATTGAGCAAGTAAAAATAAGACGAAAATCTAAATAAATATTTTTCCTAATTACTTATGTTTTCAAGATACAGGGTGATAAAGTGTTACTTATCATATCAGTTTTTTTAATAAACTTTTACTATGGTAGTCTTGGAAAGGAGATATTTTACGAACAGTCACTTACTACCACATATTCACACATAATTATAATTGTTTAAGTAAACACAGTGTCGTAGAAACGGGGGTTGCTTTAAGCTTATTGTCCCATACAAACTTTGAGGTTAGGTTTTTGTAACATTTGATGCAATTTTTCGATTACCCAGTTCGGCTACCATGAAAAAGGTGTACCTCTCAAACTTCAATAAAATAAACCGTTTCCGAGATATTCGAGATTACAAAAATTGTTACAAATATCGCATTATTTAAAAGGATTAAAAGGTATATGGTAAATAATTTTATTTTTTAATTAAAAAAACTAAAAAGGGCATTTCATGAGCCTAGGGACTTTTTGCCCTGACCGTCACATTAAAAAAATGTAGTTTTTCAATTAAAAAATTTGTTATCATATACCTTTAATGCGATATAACAATTATAATTATAACAATAATTATTGATATCTCGAATATCTCGGAAACGGTTTATTTTATCGAAGTTTAAGAGGTACACCTTTTTAATAGTAGCCGAACTGAGTAATCGAAAAATTGCATCAAATGGTATAAAAACCTAACCTCAAAGTTTGTATGGGACAATAAGCTTAATTATTGTTATATCGAATATCTCGGAAACGGTTTATTTTATCGAAGTTTAAGAGGTACACCTTTTTAATAGTAGCCGAACTGAGTAATCGAAAAATTACATCAAATGGTATAAAAACCTAACCTTAAAGTTTGTATGGGACAATAAGCTTAAGCAATCCCTGTTTCTACGACACTGTGTTCACTCGAACAATTCTAATTATGTGTGAATATGTGTTTTTCTAGTAAGTGACTGTTCGTAAAATATCACCTTTCCAAGTCTACCATAGTAGAAGTTATATTAAAAAAATGATATGATAAGTAACACACCCTGTATCTTTTAAACATACGTAATTAGGAAACATATTTATTTAGATTTTCGTCTTATTTTGACTTGCTTAATCTGCTCCTAAATTTATGCCACTAAGTTTAGGGACACCTTGTATATTATTATAATAATTTTTTTTAACATTATGAACCACCCAATGTTATTTCTTGAATTAAAAATTATAATAATAAAAACACTGAAATAATAGGGTGTGTTTTACTTTTTCTGAACCACCCAGTTAACTATGCTGTATATGTTAATTTACCGATAATACACAGTATAAGTATATATATTAATTTATTTTTATAACATAACATTTTACTTGTTTTTATTGGATAGGTACTAAATTTTTATATAGTAATCGTATAATTTATTATTTGAAACTAATAAAGTTTCCATTAGTTCAAATAATATTTTAATAATAAATAAATTTATAGACCCACTTGGGCTTTAGCAGTTTTGTTTATAATGCTTTAATATTGTGCTAAACAAAATTTGCATCATAAAATAAAGCAGATGTCGTCCATAAACCGACCCGTATGGATTTTCTGAACGTACTTATCATGTCAGAAGCTGCTCAGAATACTAATCAGACAGGTGAATGAAGGTGGACTATAAACAAGCACGAAGCGTTAAAAGGACTGAGATGTAGTTGAAAGGAATACTTAATTATAAGTAATATCTCAGTTACTCCATATTGTAATTATAAGTGGCAGTGGTACTGGCAGTTGCACTTTTTAACAACAACCTTGACATTTTTATCTGTCTTAGTGACAGATATTGTCTAACCTCATTTTTAAAGAAGATAACATAAATAAAATTTTGCCCGGGTAAATTTTTTAGTGTAGGGGTAAAAATATTAGAATTGATTTGTAAGTGTAAAAGTTATACTACAAAATACACTAGGTAGCATTTAGTGCTTATTAACTTTATTAAACACATTTAAAGAATATGAACATTATTCATTGGTACATTCACACTATTTATTATTAAAATAAATCAAAAGAGTAGAAAAACTTAATGCGAGTGTTTATTACCCCTTAATGTGTTAAATAGTGACAAAATGTACACTACAGTGCATACCAATTTCTTTGTCTGTTTTGATGTTACTAAGAGCTCTTTTTTCTTTACACTACTAGTGCACATTGTATCATAATTAAAGTTAAATTATACCAATAGTGGCAAAATAGACTAAAAAAACTGGTAATAACCGAAATGCGTTTTAAAATGTTTCGTTGGTACCTATCTACCTACGCAGTGCATATCCGGAGATACCGCATTTTGGAAGTGTGGCATTTTTGTTCAGTTAGATTTTAATTACGGTGAATCCATAAGGGGACATTCTAATTTTTTGGTAAGTATTATACTTCCTTTTTCTTTAAGCCTTAATACTCAATAAATACCGACATATATTATATATCAATAATTTACGGCAGTAGGTCGGGTACTTGTAACAATAATAATATAAATACATACACACTTGATTTACTTTTTATTTTCAAGCGTATTGGTTGTTATATTAACCTATACCTACATGTTTATTAATATTATGGAAAATTTGTACACGTGTGGTAAATCCCCGACATACAGCCGCCTGACGCCTCTCTACCAAAGGGATCACCCATTTTTTATAACAGAAAAATGGATTACTGATGAATTCTCAAGATAATTCATTGCTTACAAGTTGACAGCCAGTAAAACATTGCATTGATCTAAAACTTTTACGTTTTAAGGAACCATTTTGCTGAAGCCAGCTATACGACTCAAATATAAAATTATATTTTAAAAGGCACCGATTTTTATAATTGAAGGGGTTAGAATAGAAAGGGTATAAGTGCAATTTCTTTAATTTAGGAGATAAGTTCGTTTTGTGAAAGATAAGGTTCCGACGTATCGAAATGAAAAGGATTTAAGTAATTTTCATACTTCTAGGGACCTCTATTATCCAGTAGAAAAACATTACTAAACAAAATTCTTCACTTTTTTATGGTAACATAACTTTAACTTCAAATATCTCCAAAAAATGAAAATGTTACTTATACCCTTTTTATTCTAACCCCTTCAATTGTCATAGATTTTTGTTTCAAATAAATGTTTCCCTTTATTTACCTTTTCGTTTTATTCACTACCACCTATGGGTTTTACTCAAATAATAGTGTTAATTTACACTAGAAGTTTGCACTAAAATAGTAAAAGTACCTTTCTAAAATTAGAACCTTTCCAAAGTAGTGTTAATTTACACTGAACAAAAGTGGGATTTTACCCAGGAAGTGTAGAAGTACACGTTTTTAGGTAAATTAACACTTTTTAATACAGTGTAAAATTACTTTATCCTCAGTGCTATAGTGTTAAATCATACTTGGTTACTTGGGGAAAATTACACTACAAATTAACTCTAATTGTAGTGTTATAAAAAAACACTATTTAGTGTGGACCTGTGTGAACTCTAATTAGTGTTGCTTAAAGTTGATTTTTTTTTACTAAAATAAATTTATAAAATCAGTTAAAAAACTAAAATGTAAAAAATAATATTCAATGTATAAAGTTAAATAGATGAGCTACAGAAAAACAAAAAATTTAATTAAAATTAAATTTTTTGAGGTTAGGTTTGTGGGTATTAGGACAGGAAAATTAAAACTTATTTTAAATTCGCCAGGCGAATTTAAAATAAGTTTTAATTTTCCTGTCCTAATACCCACAAACCTAACCTCAAAAAATTTGTTAAAAGGACAAAATTACTATGGATAATTAAAATTAAATTTAATTATTTTCTTAAAAATCCTGATACCTCATAAAACTTGAAATAAAAACTAGTTTTATAGCTTAAGATTTTTAAATTAAATAAAAAACACGAACCATTTTTGGCTAAACACCAATAACCTTTCAAATCCGTCGTTATTTAGGTTAAACCTCCCGATAAAAACTTAAATCACGTTTGCTGTCAAACATCGGAAGATATAAATCAAGGGCAAATTACTAAAGTATACCACCCGTTTCCTTAAAGTTGAGCTTATGCAAATCCTTGATTAAAATTCTGTTTGTTTTTAAGATACGTAACGCATAGTCTAATCTACAGAAGCTTGAAAATAAATCCATCAAATAAACAGTCTTACGTAAAAGCCTTTTAAAAG